CCCTCCCCTCTTTCTCCGTTCTCCCCTCCCCGTCTAAAATGCCTCGTGTCAGCGCCGCGGGTCGATCTGCCACAAACGGCCGCGCTTTGCGGTGCGGCCTCTGGTCTTCCCGCAGCTGCCCCCAGCTGCCCCCAGCTGCCCCCACCCCCGCTGGCGCTGCTGATCGGCTGGCCGGCTTGCAGGTGGCGCTGGGGGTTCTGTTCCTGTCGCTCAACGTGCTCCGGGACTGCCGCCTACATCGCGCGGAGTACAAGCGCTCGGCCGAGCTCATCAACTACTGCGGGGTGGGCGGGTGCGTCCTCGTGACGGCCATCAACCTGCTGGCCTCCGGCCTGGACCCCGGGATTGCCTCGCTGGGCGGCGGCCACGTCACCCCGGACATCCCCGGCCTCAGCGCCGAGTCGGCCGCGCTGGTGGCGCCCAACGGCACCTTCGGCGCGGCCGCCACCGCCGCCCCCGGCACCACGGCGCCCTGAGCACGAGAATGAGGGTCATCGGGGCCAGCTCCGGGGGGAGGAGGGGTGACTCACCGAGTCTGAATATTTGGGCGATTCGCTGCATCGTGTGTCATAACGGATGACGGAATCAAACGCAGCCGGCCTGCCCTCGCGATGCCCTTGCTCTTTGTTTGAAAGGGTCTCCAATCTGCGTTGCCACCGCGCGCGCCCGGCCCCGGCTATCGCCAGAGCGCGCGATTATACGTTATCGCCCTGAGATTTGTTTTTGGCGACCGGCTCTCCTTCCCTACCTCAAGAACGCGATGACCCCTCCCGTCTGCTCCCTCCACCCTCCACCACCCCCACCCGACATGGCACCCGGACCGCACCCGCCCGCCAGCCCCAGCTGCAGCCCCGCCAGCCCCCGCCGCCCTCAGCCGGCGCTTTGTGTGTCAGGTGCTCGTGGGCATCATGTTCCTGGTGATCGGGGCGCTCAACATCAACAAGGACAAGGACAAGCGGCGCGCCGACATCCTCAACGACGTCATCCTCATCATGGTGTTCGTCATCTCGGTGACCAACGTGGTGATCGCGGGATTCGGCATCGACAACGCGAGCCGGCCGCTGCGGCTGCTGTCCGATGAGCGGGGCCCGTCGTACAGCAGATAGCGGCCGGACCG